AGGACAATGTGACGTTTTCTGTATAGTAGGATACCTGATGTGTACTGAGAAGTTGATATTTGCCTGGCCCAGAGAGGTTTAAGGCATTAAAATGGGCATGGAAACCAGGCTTCCCATTAACACCATTGTGTGCTATAGTATGACGTGCCTTGTTTCCATCTGATTTTTAAAGCATTAAATCAGTCTGGCCCAGGACAATGTCACTTTTTCTGTATAGTAGGATATCTGATGTGTACTGAGAAGTTGATATTTGCCTGGCCCAGAGAGGTTTAAGGTATTAAGATTGCCCCCCTACAGGCGCAATAGCGTCATTGCATTGGGCTGCGAAGCATTTAAGGTGGACCGGAAAATCCGAATAAGGAGCTGCGAATAAGGAGCCAACTTCAGCCTCGTTGAGAGGTGTGTGTGCACGTGTACATGCTTGCAGAAAATCGTTCTTCGTTTTACCATGTGTTTACTGTAATCCTCGTAATAATCCCCATTGATCCAAAGTGTATCGGTAATATGATTACATTTTTTTCCCTGTAACTGTAAAAATAGATTTGTGTTGTTTTTTGTATTGCGAATACGTAACCTAGTCTCATGCATTCAGTCACTCCCCAAGCCTGGTGATAAACCCATTCGGGACGTGAGTGATACAAGCTGTAGAAATAACGGCATGATACATTTGTGGCATGTAATGCACAGAAGACACGTGTGTGGCCTATTTTTGTAAGGAGAATCTTTCATTATTCTCCTTACTGTAATGTATAATGATATCAGTAAGTCGAAGTATATACCTTCCGGTGCATCCGGGAGTAATTTCAAAATTAAAGCCCTTTTAAAACTATTAGAAATCGTTGGTCCGAATTTATAATCATGCGCTTTCACGAATTCGTAATCAATACGACAAAACAATAACACAAAAATGTGTTTCGAAACTGGTCGGAAATGATAACCGCGTTTCGATACTTCTACGAGTGGTTTTTGTATTGTTTTTACGTACTTAAGCTATACAAATTCAGCACACAGTTGTAACATATACAGTTCGAGTTCAATTGTTATTTACATTAGAGATATTTCATTCTTCCAGTTGTATGAACAATGCCAATTGTATGAGCCTTCCTGAAATGAAGGCTTTTATGTAACCTATTTTTGAAAGCCTTTAAACAGGAAGTGGGTGGTTCTCCTAGGGGTGGGTGGTTCTCCTAGCTGTACTGCTTATCTTCCTGCCGCATATGTTAAATGTTCTTCGAGGTTTCCAGTTTTAACTTCCCAGTGCACAATTAGCAGCGTTGAGCTGTTGGACGTTTTCTCCTTATTTTTTATTTTTAAAAAAAAAATAAAAAATCAAAACGAAATAATTCTTCCAAGGTAACACGTTTGGGTATTTGATATTTTCTTCAAGGGCATTCATTTGACAAGATCATTAGCAAAACACTGAAATAAAAAACAGCTATAGTTCTTGACTACAAGTTAGTTATCTATAATATTGTTAGTCACTTTACATATTTAAAAGTAACATACAGCAGTATCATTGTATGAAAGTTTTTTGTGTGTATGTTATAATATTTTAAAAATATTTTTGTTTTATAGAGCTCAGTTAAAATTCCTGAATAGGATCTAATCAAAAAGCACAGTGATGTTCTGTAATGTTATTTATCCCTTCTTATTCTGTCAGGATGCCAAAAGGGGAGATGAGAAAACCCCTACTGGGAGACTTGAGGGGGCCCAACCAACCGCTCTGTGATCTGGGCAGCCGTACAGTGGGTATTCTGGGCTCAGGAGACTTTTCACGCTCACTGGCATGGCGGTTGGTAGCTTCAGGTGTGCGTGTGGTTGTGGGAAGCCGCAATCCCAAGCGCAGCACCGGACTCTTTCCAGAGGAGGTGGAGGTTACCTCTCACCAGGAGGCAAGTGCACAGGCCCATGTTATATTCATAGCCCTCTTCCCTGAGCATTACTCTACACTGGTCTCCCTGAAGGGGGTCCTTGCAGGCAAGGTGCTGGTAGATGTCAGCAACAGTTTGAAGCTGAACCATGATAGGCCTTCAAATGCCGAGCTGTTGGCCACCGTCTTACCAGAGAGCACAGTGGTCAAGGGCTTTAATGTAGTATCTGCCTGGGCCTTGCTCAACAGACCACATGACGGCAACAAACAGGTAAGAGCATCCTACTTTTGCACTCCTTTAAGTCAAAATGAAAATCAAATTATAGCTTATATTGCTGAATTGGAATAAACAAATTAATGTTGCTACGTTTTGTTAATCATGTCTAGGATAGGGACTGCTAAGGTTTGGCTGATAGTAGATGTTATATAAAATACTACTGAACCTGTTGGAAGCTCAGGTCTTTATTTAAAATTTGAAACTATGATTTAAGTATCATGTTAAACAGAACATCAGTTGCAAAGTATCAGTATTAGAAATACAGTAAAACTGGTCTAAGTCGCCGGCTTGTAACTCGTCAATGTGCACAAGTCGATGCTCAAGCAAAAGTACCGATTTTTCCTAATGATGTTTCCTTTAAAATTCCTTGTGTAAATCGCCGCTTGTAAGTCGTCAAATTCCCTTAGTCGTCACCTAAATCCCGGTCCCGAACAACACAAATGAATGGATTTTCCTACCTGTAAGTCGACACCCCAATCGCTGCATTCCTGCCGCCTGCTCCACCACGGCAATGTAGAAACGGGGAATCCCCACCTATCGCACTAGTCGTTCCCTGGTCTTAAGTCTCGCGTGTATAGTGCGGTGTAGTAGAGGTATGGTGTTATATTTACTAGTCGGCAAAACGGCGAGATAGACATAAGTCGCCGAAGTGTCGACTTTATAAGTCGGCAAAACGGCGAGTTATATTTACTAGTCGACAAAACGGCGAGATAGACATAAGTCGCCAAAGTGTCGACTTAGGTGTATCTCGTCAATTCTCTAAGTCGTCACTTCTAAGCTGGTCCCGCGAGTGTCGACTTAGACCGGTTTTACTGTATATCTGGGCAAATACCAATCACTTTTTTCAGTGTTGAACTTGTTGTTTCCTCTGCCATATTAGTTTTCTGATGGAAGAGTTACAGCCTGTCCTTCTGTTTAGGTCTTGATCTGCAGTGACAGTTGTGAGGCCAAAAACACAGTGATAATTTTGGCCCGAACGATGGGCTTCATTCCTGTGGATATGGGCTGCCTTTCATCCGCCCGGGATATTGAGAATGCGCCCCTCCGCCTCTTCCCCTCGTGGAGTACCCCTGTCCTCTGCTGGATTGGGCTCTTCTCTTTCTTTTACACTTACAACTTTGTCCGCAGTGTTCTGTTGCCTTATGTCGTCAAAGGCCAAAATGTCTTCTATAAGCTGCCAGTGGAAACTGTCAATAAGACATTTCCTTCAGTGTCCCTGGTGATGCTGGGCTTAGTATATCTTCCAGGCCTCCTGGCTTCTGTCCAGCAGCTGCGACGGGGCACCAAGTACCAGCAGTTCCCTGGCTGGCTAGATCGCTGGCTGTGTATGCGCAAACAACTTGGATTGCTCAGCTTCTTCTCTGCAGCCTTGCATGCTGTGTATAGTTTGTGCCTACCCATGCGCAGGTCTGCTCGTTATGAGCTGCTTAATGCTGCCTTCAAGCAGGTGAGAATTCCCTTTTGATTTCACTGTTGATAACTAGAAAGTGAAGCATTTAATGGTTATAGAATAAGAATGCATTTCTCTTGCTTGACCGTCATCTTAGTTAAAATTACATTTAACAGTGACCTTGAACTAGTGATAAGTGAGGTGTAACAGTTCATATTTCATTTAACTTAAAGAACCAAAGCCGAATCTTTAAGAAAAAGAATCACAGATTGGATCACATGATCAGTGATCATATCAGAGCCCAGGTGGTTGGAGATCATGGAAGAGGTTCATGATAAATATTACATACAGTACTCATTTGGTAAATATGTGTGCCATAGTAACTAATGTGAACCTACTAAACATGATGTTATGAATCATTTGGGGCAATTTTACATCGTAATTTGCAATACTTTACTTGACAGGGCACAAATACTTAACTGTTACTACTGAAGTACAAATTTTGGAAAAATCATGAGCAAATATAGTTGCTACTTGAGATAAAAGATGGGTTACGATTCATTAATGATGAACAAACATGAGATCGGTATTTTACTTGTGTTATTCATTACTTGTTCATTCAATAGTTCATTCAGTAGGTTTACAGAAGTAACAGAAATAGTAAGAAATATAGTAACTGCTTAAGATAAAACATTAATTAATGATGAATTAACATGAGATGAGTATATAACTAAGATTTAGTTTGAGTTTAATTAATACATAAGTATAACACTATATTATTTATGCTCCATCAGGTAAAGTGTTACCTCTTATTATTCCAGAGATCTTTTCAGGACAGAGTTCTTCAAGGCACCATATCACAAACTTTCTTCATAATGAAAATAGGGTCCTGACTGCGGTTCAGTTGAAGGTTCTCAGACCTGGTTTAGATGTGGTAATTTTTCTTGTAGTAGAATGCATTGAGTAATTTATCAATATAGCTAATGTATGGACTGTTGAGTGCCAGGATAAGTAGAAGAAGCATAACAATGAGCAAGCAAATCAAATAGTATAATCCTGTCATAATAATACACACACACATACAGCCTGTCATCAAGAGCCATAAATTCTTCTTTATTCTTTATTTAAGGGTCATAAAGAAAAATGATTTAGCCAATAATTTAAAGTTGGTCTTCCACTCAAAGTTTTTTTTTTCTTTTAAAGCCAGCAGGTTGTTCCTCCAGGATGCCTGACTGGAAGTGTTGTTGATGTTCTCTATTTTGTTTACTTTTTCTCCTACTGCTTTTTATCCTCATGTTGACTAAGCTTATGCTAGATGCCTATTAACAGCAGCCTTCCAGCCAGAAGTCGTCCCAGCTTTCACACACTCCCACACGATGTTGCAAAGGGGTTTGGGCTGATTCCCTGCTGTATGCTGCAGTGTCTGAGATTTTAATTAGCACCTTACCTGAAGATCGTTCTTGGCAAACTTTCATTATCAAATAAGGTTTTGTTTTCACATAAAAATCACTTGGTGCGAGGATACTCTAAATTATTTAATAGTTGTATGCGTTTATAGATATGGCCATATGAAGTGGTGTGTAGTTCCATGGGTTAGGAATTTATGTCCATGTCGGAAAGGTTGTGGGTTCAGATCCTATGGTTGGCAGAGTAACCTTATCACTGTTGGTCTTTTGACTCTAAACTGTTCTAGAGATGCTAACACTGTTCTTCCCTCACCTGTATACTGCTTTGAAGCAAACTATATACTAAATAAATAGATATACTTCATTCCATTAAAATGAATCAAAATGAACATTAACATTTCTTGATATTTCACTAATAATAAGAATAAAAGTAAAGCAAATCACTAGATTGTTATGAGCTTTATCTTTCTTTCTCTTGCATAGTATGTCATATAATGCAGAACACCAAATGTAATTAATTTTGGGTTTTCTTTGCGCAGCTTATTGAGGTGTAACCTCCAAGTAGTGATGCACTAATAAGGAAATTTCTGGCCGATACTGATAGGGAATTATTTCGAAAACTGACACAGATTCTGGTTGTTTGGGAGGTTCTGCTTAAATACGTTTAAAGGGAGACTCCACCCAAATAAATTTAATTAATACTTTTGGGATGTATTTTTGATAAGAAAACACTGTGGCATACAGACCTAGAGCACTATGTTAACTGTGTACATCTTAAATATTAAATAATTCAATAATTCAATTGAAAATGGTAGATTACCTAGATGCAAATAACATTATAAAGGATAGCCAACATGGATTTAGGAGAGGTAGATCCTG